GTCTTATTTAGTAATGGTCTTGCGGAGATGTGGAGGTCATGTATTGGATTCCACATCATCTCTAATTACTGTACCATGACTGAAGTATGTTCGAGACTGTTAGTTCTCCCAGGTGAGGGGCCGACCTAAGGGCCTTCCGAGTTTCACCTGCTACCGGTGGAGGCCAAGGGCCTTAATATCCCATCGGGGTGTGCACACGAGCGGCCGAGGGCCGAGTAAGGGTCTTTTGACCAAAGTTAAAGTTTAAGAAATGTTTACAGTACAATACAACTTATTTATTTTATGCTGCTTTTAAGTTTATGTTTACAGTTAAGATTATTACAATTCCAGTTTTCCCACGAGCATGCAGATATGCTCACACTCCTACAGTCTTTCTTATTTCAGGTGTCGGAGTCCAGCGTGTCGGGTGAGCAGACGTGGCAAGTGTGGTCATGAGCAGTGGACGTTTCTACACACCTTTTATATTTTAAAAATCATGAATTTGTATGTAACATGTATGTGTGTAATAAGTATTATTCAATTTAAGCTTCTGCTAAGTTTCAGTGCGAGACAGACGAACTGCATGTATAACCACTTTATCGCCATAGTGGCTTGTTTGGTTACATGTTTTATTTATGTCCGAGATAGTAAGTTAAGAATGTTTTCCTAGCATCCCGCAATTAAGATAGTATTTTCGAAAATAAACTCGCACGATCTTTCGAAAATAAAAAGCGAAAATTTACTCTGATTTTCAGTATTCAAAAACTAAGTAGGGCGGGGTGTTACAGTAAATAAACCGTGTATAACATTTATTTAATACACACTTTATTTTAAAATAATAATAAAAGAAATACGCATTTAGACAATTAATTTTTTTTTTTTGCCAGAACGATAGGGGATATATATAAACCTCAACAGAAAAAAGTACAATAACAATCCAACCGACATAAACAAGAAAAAACTGAGAGGCACGCAAACAATGCGGCCTAGAACCTCAATAGCAACAAAAGAGAGAAAAAAGTGACTATGAACCTATCCACTGCCATAAGGCCTAGCTAGGACTCATCGTCTTCAACAAACTACAAACCAGAGAAAGAGAAAAATCCAAAACAACCCTAACTAAAAACAAGAGAAGAAAACACTTAAATAGCAGCATAATCTTGCCAATCCTTGAAGGCAGCCTTAATGACAATGTGGATTGGCATGAGTGTGTGTTGGAAGACCCAAAGGTTCCTAGACTTCCAGAGCCACCATAGCAAGTATGTAGACAACTGGATTCTAGCCTCAGCTACCTCATTCTGCTTGAGAGTACAAAACTGCTGCCACCACATTTTGAAGGAGTATGTGAGGCTGTTTAACCCATCCCACTGCACAGGAGCCAATTCCCAAAGTCTGCAAGCTCTTGGACAAGAAAATAGAATATGCTCAATGGTTTCAGAACCTTCACCACAGATAGAACAAATATCCTCAATTATGACTCCTTTATGAATTAAGTGAGCAGCAACAGGCAAGGTACCTGTGAGGCATTTCCATATAAAGTGCTTGAGTTTGCCTTGAATGTGAAGTTTCCAGCTCCTGATGAAGTGTGTCTTAGATGCAGCTGTTCTGGAACTAGTTTCAGGGATATCAAGTTTAAGGATCTTTTGAGAAATCAGATATGAATATGCACTTGAAACAGAAAAACAGCCCTTGGCTTCCAGCCCCCAGAAATGTCTATCTGATCTGTTAGGGTTAAGAGAGTTGATCTGTAGGATTGCAGCACTGTCTTGGGCATTGAAAAGTTGCCTGACCATCCATTCATTCCTGCCATGGCCATGGGGAAGCAAAAGCTCCTTCACCCAAATGAGATGCCCCTGAGCTATATTCAACATGTCCGGCTTAGGCTTGTTTAGGTTGGGAACCCAGTTGAAGTCATCCACTTTGGTTGATGCCCCATCCCTTATCTCAGTCATGAACCATTTTGAGAAAGTAGGCAAAACAGACATCCAACTATTCCACATCCAGGAGCCTTTGGAGGTTTTTTTAGCATGAAGAAGGTTGTCCTCTGGAAAGTATCTATCTTTCAGGACTTTGCTAACCAAGAGATCAGGATTAGTAGCAATTCTCCATAACTGTTTGCAGAGGAGTGCTTCATTGAATAGTCTTATGTCAAGAAAACCAAGGCCACCCTTAGATTTGGGTAAAGAAAGCAGCTCCCACCTCTTCCAGTGTATACCTTTTCTATTGCCATCACCTGAGTGCCACCAGAATTGGGCACAAAGTCTGGATAGTTCAGAGCAAACAGTACTGGGAACCTTAAAGCATGACATGGTGAAGATTGGAAGAGCTTGAATTACTGATTTTATCAATACTTCCTTCCCAGCTGTTGACAGAAAGTTAGCTTTCCAGTTTTGAAGCTTACCTTTGAGAGACTGAATAAGATAGTCAAATACATCAGTTTTAGATCTTCCAATGCCAAGAGGAAGACCCAAGTATCTGGTGCTCCTGTGGGGTGTGATACCATGAAGGGCTGAGCAAATAGAAGTCTGCAAGTGACTAGGTTTATTTCTGCTGAAAAAAAATCCCTAATTTGTGAAGATTAACCTGCTGGCCAGTAAGCAGTCTGTATTTCTCAAGCAATGAAAAGAGCATATTGGCTTGATCAACCCCAGCATGACAGAAAAACAGAGAATCATCCGCAAATAAGAGGTGAGACAAGGCAGGGCCATTCTTAGAGAGTTTGAAGCCCTTGAAATTGCCATGATTTTGAGAATCTAGAATTAGAGCAGTGAGTAACTCAGCAACAATAATAAATAGGTAGGGGGATAGAGGATCCCCCTGCCTAATTCCCCTAGAAGGAGAGATGTAGCCACTAACAGAACCATTCACTTTGAAAGAAATTGAAGTAGAAGAAATACAGACCATGATCCAATTAACAAAAGAGGCATGAAAACCCATCTGCAGCATGATTTTCTTGATACTTTGCCATTCCACACGATCAAAAGCTTTCATAATGTCAAGTTTTAGGGCCATAAAAAAGTTTTTACCTGAAGTGTGTCTGTTCAGAACATGGAAGGCTTCATGTGCCAGAACCACATTGTCCATGAGTTGTCTGCCCTTGATGAAGGCAGACTGATAAGGGCTGATACACACTTGCAAGCATTCCATAAGCCTTTGAGCCAAAACTTTAGACACAATTTTGTAAACCACACTGCAGAGGCTGATTGGTCTGAAGTGCCCAAGAGATTCTGGATTTGGGATCTTGGGTATTAATGAGAGTATTGTGTGGTTCCAGTATTTTAGGAGAGCTCCAGATTGGAAGAAGCTGAGAATGGCCTCCAAAAGGTCAGATTTTATTGTGCTCCAGCAGTGTTGGTAGAAAAGGGCACTCATGCCATCTTCCCCTGGTGTTTTGTCAGGATGTAAAGAGAAAAGGGCAGCTTTAACTTCTTCCTCAGTAACAGGTCTCATAAGTTCTTGGTTCTTCTCCTCTGTGATTGTCTGAGGGATGAGGTGAAGAATAGAGTCTCCATCCCAGCTTCCTTCAGAAGAGAAAAGATTGGTGTAGAAATCAGATATGTGCTGTTCAATGCCTTGTTGAGTGGTGAATTCAGAGCCTTGAGCTGAGATGAGCCTAGTGATAGCATTGAGTTTCCTCTTCTGCTGAGTGTAAGCATGGAAAAATTTGGTGTTGCCATCTCCATCTTTGAGCCACCTTATTCTAGATTTCTGCTGCCAGTGTTGCTCCTCCAGAGTGTGTGCTTTTTCCAGATCTTTCCTGGTAGATTCCCAAATATCCCAATTGATGCTGTTTCTATCTGATTTCAGAGCTTCCAACTTCCTGTTAAGAGTCTCAATGTATTGCTGATTTTTGGATTTGAAGCTGGAACTCCATTGAAGCAGAGCAATTCTGGTGCATTTGATTTTGTCTTTGAGTCTGAAAAAAGGTGTGCCAACACAGGGAGTGTCCCAAGCTTTTTTAACTGTTTCAGAAAATCCTTCCATTGAGATCCATCTCCTGTCAAAGTGGAATCTGGATTGTTTTTTGGGTTGAGGCTGCCCCAAATCTAATAAGAGTAAAGCATGATCAGATGCACTTTTGATTGTGGTGGATACTGTTGCATTGGGGAAGGTAAGATGCCAGTCAAGGGATGCAAAGGCTCTGTCCAATTTTTCCTCTACTAACCCTTCTCCCATTCTGAGGTTGCACCAGGTAAATTTGTAGCCCCTCATTTGAACTTCTTCCATCTCCATTTGATTAATAAAAGAGTTGAAGCCTCTAAAAGAACTGGCTGCTCTGAGGGTTCCTCCTGATTTATCATCCATGGAGCACAGGTCATTCCAGTCACCAATAGCACACCAATTGGATCCCCACATAACTTTATCATTCTCTAATTCAGCCCATTGAGAAGCTCGAATTTGTCTGCAGGGGTTAAGATAAACAAAGACAGCCCACTGGGGGCAAGAGAGTCCAACTGATATTCTACAGCAATATAGAACTGCTTACAATGAATCTGATTAACATTCACCTTAGAATTCCAAAAAAGTAATAAACCCCCACTTAGACCAATAGGATCAACTGCAGCCATACTATTTACAAAACCCAATTTTTTGACAACTGACTTAACAAAAGCTAAAGGTTTTTTAGTTTCTGACAGAAAAAAGAAAACTGGGTGATGAGTCCTAATTGACTCTCGTATTTGGAAAATTGTAGAGGGCCCACCCAGCCCTCTACAATTCCACACCGCAGCTAACATTGATCACCAAGGTGCCATTCTAGGCTGGCAACCCCCACCGTATCAGAGTGCAATTTAATTTTCTTGTTATCAGACTGACCTGCAATTTGATCTTCTTGGTGTTGAGTTTGAGTTTCACCTTCAGGCCTTAGTCTTTTGGATGAGATATCCTTGTCAATGAGAATTGGGAGAGTTGGCTCTCTTTGAAGTCTTCCATCTTTGGCTCTGTTCCTTCTCCAAGTTTTGATTAGCCCATTCGCTTTGGGGAAGATGAGAGAAGCTCCTTCGGTTGTTGTTGCAGTAGCAATGGATGCATCAAATTGGACTTCTTCAGTTTCCATGACCTTAGCTGTCTCCACTATTTGTAAGTTCACATTCTCAAAGGTTTCTGACTGATGAACATTTGAGGGGGATTTGGGTAGTGGAATGATTGGGCCACTCTTGGCAGTAGTAAGAGGCATTGGAGTGTATGATTCCATCAAGTCTAAATCTCTGTCAGGAACTTGAACTAGAGCATTATTTGGTGCTGAGGAGTGCCCATTATGTTCCTGAGTTGATGTTGAGGCTGCAGCTTCTGGAGTGGGCAGTAGAGGGGTTTCACCGTGTGTCACTATCATTTGGTTACTCCCTTCAGCTTGACTTCTGGATGATTGTAATGGAGATTGTGAAATTGGAGTTGTGTGGCTAGTTGATTTGGGGCTTCTGTGCTCTGAGGAATTCAGACTAGCAAAATTCTGTGCTTCTGGGGCACGAAGCCAGTCCCCATATTGTCCTTCTGTCAGTGATTTTGATACAATGTCCTTTTGCCGTTTTGTACAACTCCTTTTCAGATGGCCTATGAAGCCACAATAATGGCACATAACAACAACAACAATAATAATAATAATAATAATAATAATAATAATAATAATAATAATAATAATAATAATAATAATTATAAATAATAATCCTCAAATAAACCACAAATAAATGGGGCATTACAGAACCCCTTTGTCGAAAATAGGGTGTTAATTCGATGTTCAATGTGGAGTCATGCGGCGGTTATGTAACGGTTCTCTAAGTGCGAAGAACGTGTCCTTTCCACTACGCGCTCCAAGAGACACGTACGAGAAGTAACGGCTGCACGGTCGGGTAGTTTCTTGGACACGTGTGCGTCTGAGATTAAGCCACGAGATTTCATGAGGGGGTGTGAGACGTTTCATCCAAGAGATGCGACGGTTACATGCGTCTCCTCATCCCCCAATGGTTNTATATATATATATATATATATATATATATATATATATAAATATCTCACTTTCGTTCTACATGATTTTCACCCAAAAACTTCTTTGATCTTCAATCTCACAAATTCCTCCTTCATCAACCCTTCTCTGTTTTCTACTGGCTGTGAGCATTTTATTTGAAGGTCTGCAGTTTTCCCATCGAGATATCGCTTGATTTGTCGGTAAGCTCCAAACTCGTCTTTTATCCTTCTTAATCACTTTTTGATTTTTCTGGTAACATTAATGGCGGCAGCGAGCGATGAACAAGCGGAATCAAGCAGCAGCAGGACCATTTTAGACGAGGTGTGGGATGAGGAGTTGATGGGCGAGGATTACCGCTAGGATCCCGTTCTGGTTGGCCGTCTAGACATTCGATAAAACAACATCGAAGGGGATGCCGAGGTTGAGAGGGATATTCCTGTCAAGACCGGATACTGGAGACGACCTGCCCGCAGATGGCCCGATGCCGACGTCCCGTTTCTAGGGGAGTCTAGTATGATGACCGACGCTGACGTCGTCTTACTTCGGGAGTCGGTCCGCATGCATCGTAAGTTTTTCTGCTGTGTCTGAAGTATTCTAACAAGTTGTTTTTCCTGCGCTAACAGGTCCGAACTTTTCTTATTTGTAGCCAAAAGGAAGAGGGAACCCAAACTTAGTAGCGAATTTATAGAAAAACTTGAAGCGCTCGCCCTCTTGAATGATTCGGAGCGGGGGTGGCGCCAATTGACGAAAGATTCCAAACTCGAGTTGGCTAAGTGGACGATGAGTCATCCTGTCAGCGATTTCGAACCAGGTAAGACCCCATTATGTTGATTTCGAACCAGGTAAGATTCTGAAGCATGAGAATTTTCCACATAGGCTCAGCGCATTCTGAAATTATATATAGATGGGATATATAAAATTACAATCAATATTATACCATTTTAAATTAAATAGACGAGGACATCTACTTAATTCCTTAATAATAACTTTTATAATTATTTACATAACACAAAATATGTCGAGCTTATTACTTTAAAAATATAAATCACAAATAATCATTAAAAATAACTAATATGCATAAAATGAAAATCATGAATTTGGGGTCTTACAGGCAGCCGTCCGCCACCCCGCCGCCCACTGAGACAAGCTTCTCGCCACTGTCTGCAACACGACCCGTCCCGCCATCTCGTCGGAGACTCTCAGGCCAAAGTGGTGTTTTTAAAAATCCGGCGAGAATCAACCAGAGAAATATCCAAGCCATATATCGCTGCTCAGGGCCATCGACGTACGCCACGAGCCGCCGCTTGAGTGCTGCGTATCTCCACCGAGAAAAACAGAAAACGAGCTCGCCATTCTCGCCGGAGAACCAGTCGGAGGAGAGCAGGCGGTCGACTGACACCATGGCCTTCACGGCGAGAGCCTCCAGGTCGACGGAAGAGGTCCGACGCTGAGCTACAGTGACAGGGACGGGAGGATTAAGCTTGTTAGGGATACGGACTTATTTTAGAGAATTAGATAAGTTACATGGTCCTTTATGTAATTTCATAAACTTTAGTATATTGCATTTTAGTATTCATGGCAGTTTTGTAATTTATTAAAAGTCAGACATATCACACTAATAATATATAAAATGCACAAAATGACAATATATTTTGTAATTTTAGTTTGTTCGAGTTTTGTCGAATCTTGTGCAATCTTATAGTCAAATGTGCAACTCGTAATACGGTAATGTGCAATTGCACTGCATATTATTTTTTTAATTACTTGTCCCAAAACAAATTAAAATACAATTGAGATAATGGTTTTATAAGCGATTAACCTAATTAATCTAAATGAACAAAACAATTTATAAATTATATCATAAAATATATTTAGTATTTTATTAGTTTTATTTTAAAATTTTTATAATTTTTTGTTGAAAAGTTATAGTATAATTATAAAAATATTATTTTTTATGTATGTCGGTCAGTTGATTATAAAAAAAGAAAAGAACTAAATCGAATTGAAATAACCTTTTTTTTTAAGTAAAGAACGAACACCGAACCGNACACTAACATGCATTTTAATTTTAATTTTTTTTTAATAATGTGTATTCAATATATATATTCGGTTCATTTCGATCGGTACATATGCTAAAGTGCAATATTACAGGCACAAAATTGCAACCTGACAGTCATTAATGTGCAATTTTTTTCGGCCACTATGTGCAGTCTGCAAGGACCAAACTTTCATTCCAACCAAATCGAATTTGAACACTAACATGCATTTTAATTTTAATTTTTTTTTAATAATGTGTATTCAAACTAGAATATAAATGCGAACTCAAAGTCTTAGTTCGTAGGTTTCGGTCGCTATAGTGCAATCTGACAGTTACTAATATGCAATCAATCCATCAATAATGTGCAATCGAGGTGATTTGTGAAAGAAATATGAATAATGCTAAGGTACATTCAGTATAACAATATTGTGCAATATGATAGTCACTAATGTGCATTTTGTTTAACAATAATGTGCACTATGTAATGTATGTTATTAATTAAAAGTATAGTATTACTATACCGCATAGTCTTATGTACCATATTTGTTTAACAAATTTTATTTCATATTTTTATTTATTATTTTAATATGTGTGTATAAAAAATATTTAAAGAATAATAGTTCTTATAAAAAAATTTTCTAATTACATATTTAATCAAGAGATTGAATTGACATTTCTAAAAATACACCCAACAGCCAACACACTAAAAGTTTTCTATATTATATATTATGCCCAAGGAAGTCAATTGCAATATTACTTAATATTTACGAATTTGCAATCAAGTTCATGGTAAATATCAAATTCTCAAAGATGTGAAATCCCGTCAACAGTCCAAGTCCCAGATCTTCAGTCTCGCAGCTCTGTCTCGTCAACAATCCGATCTATCACCGGCTGTCCATCTGCTCGCCGACGACTCATCCTGTTGGCAACAGCAAACCTAAAATTCGGCCGTCATCGCTCGACTTTTCAACGGAATTCTGTCGAACTCGCTACCCATCTTTAGAAATACAGGTCAAGTTCGTCCGACCCTTCAGTTGCTTCTCCATCATTCTTTCGAGGTTGGAAATATGAGGAGCGTGACGGCCGGATACGATCCGTCAGCAGAGCAGAAGAGGAAAATTCACCGACGAATGAAGGTGGTGATGATGACAAACCGACTGGTGGGCGGCAGAATCGGGCGATGGTTTGGCGGCGCTGGGTGAGGTTGGATGTGACAGGGCGGTGGCTGTGGGCTGGAGTGCCGCCGTCGGTCTGTGTGCATGTATGTGTCGATCTGTGTGTGTGTGTGTGTGTATTGTGTGTGCAGAGTGTGTGAGAGTGTGTTTATGTGTGTTATATGCTGATGTGTGTGTGTGTGCATGTGTTATTTGTGTGTGTGCGTGTGTTATTTGGGTGTGTGCGTGTGTTGTGTGTGCGTGTTAGGTGTGTGGGGGTGATGTGGCATGATGATGTGTAATGGTAGTGACTAAAATACCCTTAATGAAGGTATAAACTTGACTTTTTATTGGTCATTAGATCGTCGAATCTAATGGTAGGATGTATTCTTATTTCTTT